AGGGGAAGGAGTCATGATCACAGCATCTGAGGGGAAGACAAGGAAGGGAGGGAGGGAGGAAGGAAGGAAGGAAGGAAGGAAGGAAGGAAGGAAGGAAGGAAGGAAGGAAGAGAAAAAGAAAAAAAAAATGCTGGAGCACCTGGGCACCTGGGTGGCTTAGTTGGTTACGTGTCCGACTCTTGCTTTTGGCTCAGGTCATGATCTCACAGTTTCATGAGTTTGAGCCCCGTGGCTGACTCTGCAGCACAAGAGCCTGCTTCAGATTCTCTCTCTCCCTCTTTCTGCCCCTCCCCACTTGCACTGTCTCTGTCTCCCTCAAAATAAATACATAAACTTAAAACAAATTTTTAAAAAAAATGCTCATTGGATTTCATTCTGAAACCTCCACATCTAAGCTCTTCCAACGCTCAGGTTGGGTCCTGGAGGCGGCATCAAATGGTTAGATGGCCCCAGCTGCTTCTCTCACTCAAATGTGCATATGAAGAAGAAAACAAAGGCCTCGGTCCAAGCTGCTAAAGAGTGGGACCATACAAACCATTCCCTCTTAGGTGCTATTCCAGGCCATACAAACTATTCCCTCTTAGATGCTATTCCAGACTCTAAGAAAGCACCAAACATATTTACTGACTGCTGCTTCTGGGGACCCTGCTGACCCTAACCAAGAGCCAGTGCTCTGCCCCACTCCTACTGGGCTCTCCCAAGACCCAGGACATAACTTGTGGGACTGGAAACATGTTCATTTCATAGGGAGGGAGTTTGGGGGGACTGGCCTAGAAATCAGGAACCCCCATCTTGACTTGCTGTGTGGCCTTGGAAAAGACCCTTCCCTTCTCTGGACTTGTGTCCTCCCGTGTAAACTAAAGAGAATCCAGCTATTTGCTATCTAACAACGTAAGTATATACACAAAAGAGCTCTTATGATGTATCCAGCCCCTGGCTTCCTGGCCCAGGTCACCTACCCCCCTACCCTCAAGGACAGAAACATGGCCAGCCTTGGGCAGTGGGGAGGGCCCCAGGGCAAAGCCAGGCAGCCACAAGAAGTGTAAGCACAGATGGCACAAGAGCAGAAGGAAGTATCCCACCTGTGAAAGGAAGAGCAGGGAACTAACCTCCCCAAGCACCTACTCCATGCTGTCTGCTTGATATCCATTACTGCCATGTCATCATCGCTACTCCATGTGGCAACAGCTTTATCACCTCAAGGTTTAAATCAAGAAAACTGAGACCCAGAGGGTGCTTCTCCTGAGTGTGTGTGCCTCAGAAGGGAAAACCTCAGGACTGGAACTGGATCAACTCCAAAGCCCACACCCTTGCCGCTGTGGTCCATTAAGGAGCTGAGAGAGGGAAATCTCCCTCATCCCCACCTCCCACCCAACCAAAGCATCTCACCCACCCAGTTGCCTGAGCTGCTACCATTAGCTCCTCACCTCCCTGGGCTAAGGCTTCTCTCTCCAGGGGCTCCACCCTGGGGGAGGAGGCATAAGTAGGAGGCAGAGGCGGGAGGTGAGCACAAGGTCTTTTATGAGGCATCAAATATACATTCTTATATACAAGGAGGAAAAAAGACAATGCCTGAACCCCAGCTCCTCTCCATACAGCCCCTCCCACTGCTGCCCTCCCCCACCCCCAAGCCCCTGGGTCCCTGGACCTTTATACAGCCAGGGTCTGTCTGTCTGTACTGCAGCCCATGGTAGAGGGGGGAGAGGGAGGCAGGAGCTGAGAAAGGAGCTGGATGTGTGGGGCAAGAAGAGGAGCTGGGGCTTGTAAAAAATATATTTATAATAAATAAACAGGGCTGTAAAGGGGGCTGGAGAGGCAGCAGAGATTTTGACGGACAGAAGGACTCAGGCATCCTGGCTCCCAGCCCCTGCTCTGATGGCTTCAATCTGCCTCAGGAAGGACATCTTGGGCTTATGGTGGCCCTCTGGGAGCGTCTCTCCCCAGGGCTGATGCTGGGTGCACTGCTCCAGCGAGGTGTATGTGGGCAAGATCTGTAAAGTGCATTGTCTTCAGTTGTAGGAGGGGTCAGTGTAAGGGAATGGGAGGGCATGCAATATGGGTGAGGGAGGGCAGTGCCCTTCTCATCCCAGACCTGAGCAACCCCCCCCAAACCTGTCTGGACTTTTATCAGGGTAAGAACATTGCCGTGAGAGGCAAGGTCCTGAAGCTGAAGTGGTCTGGGCGGGGGCCCACTGGAGAGAGGACAGAGGCTGGCTCTGGAGAGGAAGCACTGCCCATTTGGGGGCCAGCATTAGTGGGGACCCACCGAGTGCACTGACAGCCCTGTTCCTCTGGCAGGTTGAGACACATGAAGGAGTTTAGTCAGGCCCTGAGGTCTGAGAGAGGGCCGAGTCAGCCAAGGTTTGGCCACAATTCTACAGAGCTCCCTCCTAGCCCCATGTGGCTAGAGGTGCTCTGGGGAAGCCTCCACCCTTTACTGCTCCTGACACCTGCCTGCCCTTCTCTACCAGCCAGAGCTGATGGGCGCTCACACTGGCCCAGAAGTCTGAGGTCACCTTGGGGATGGGGGTGGGATGGAGACAGGGAAAAGAGGAGGAGGATCTCCAAAAGGTCCTCACCACTCCCCAGAGCTTGAGAGCCCTGCATCCAGGCTTCAGGTGGCAAGGATCCTTCAATCTGGAAGGAAACCCCATGGCAACTGTTGAGGGTTAGAGGAGGGGTCCCGAGGCAGGGAAGAAGTGGGGAGGAGGACATCTTTATGTGTATATATATTTTGGAAAAACTGGGAACCTCTTGCGGATTCCCCAGACCTCCCTGGGCCCCAGCTCACTCCCTCTGTTCATCAGACCACGGTGCTGATCCGGCTTGGCTTGGCCTTGGGGTTTGCACTGGGTGGGTTGGCCGTGCCAGGGGGCCCAGAGGCGTGCAGCGGGCCATGGGGGGAGGTGGGTGGCAGGGGTGAGTGTGGGGTATGGGGTGAGGGGGGGGGCAGGGGTGGGTAGGAAGGGTGGGGTGGAATGGGTGAGTGCGGTGACAAGGGTGACTGGGGGTGGTGAGGGTGGGAATAGGAGCCTCCTGGTGGCCGGGATCCAGGGCCCCCTGTGGCCCCTGCTGCTGGCATCATCTGTGGGTGGTGGCTGAAGATGAAGTGCTTGGGGCCCTGTTTGTGGGCTGGAGGGTGCTGGGGGGCAGGACTGTACAGGGGCAATGGGGATGTGGGCTGGTGCAGGGGGTGGCGGCCATGTGGAGCAAACTGAGGGTGTCCTCCAGCCCCCCGTCTGGGAGCCCTGCCTGGCCGGCCCAAAGTATAGTGCTGGGGGCCTGGGACTGGGCCATGGGCATGGAAGTGGCGGTGTGGCCCCACAGGTGGGGCTGAGGCGGGAGGTGGTGGAATGGAGCCCAGCTGGGGCAGGGGCGGGGGCTGCTGAGGAGGTGGGGGGAGAGGGGGTTGCTGGGGTGGGAGGTAGGGTGGCGGGGCAGGGCCTGGTCCTTGGCAATACTGGGCATGCAGGGCCTGGAGCTTGGACTGCCCATCAGGCAGCACCCCCAGGCCACCGTGGCTGTGACCATGGTGGTGGTGGTGGTGGTGGTGGTGGGTGGAAGAAGCAGATGAAGAGGAGGCAGAAGCCTGGCCTGTTGGCGGTGGTGGCATCTGGAAGGGCCCCTTGCCCCGCTTGCTTCCAAACAGGGAGCCCAGGAAAGATGAGGAGTTGGAGACCGGTCTCTGGCTCTTGTACTCCTCTGGCGGCGGGGGTGGGGGCGGAGGTGGCATCCTCTGGTGAGGGCGTGGACTGCTAATAACAGACCCCTGGAAGCGGGGAGGGGGGAACGTCAGGCCAGTCTAGACTTCCTAAACCCCCAACCCTAAACTCCACCCAGTCCCTGAGGGCTGGAACTGGGGAGACAGGAACCCCCATGGCATAATGAAAACCAGTTTAATGGTCCTGTACTTGTACATGGAGCTCCCCAGCTTGCAGAGCTCCTCTGTCACATCCACTATCTCATCTGAGCCTCTGCTGGGAGAGGAAGAATTAGTAGTACCTCCTCCTCATCCCCATTTTGCAGGCAGGGAGAATGTTAGGCCCAGAGGCACAGAGTGACTTGCTCAGGCTCAAAGAGCAGGACTTGGAGGTGAGAGCTTCTCACGGTCCAACTCCAAGGGCATCTCAACTCAGAGTCGGCCCTGGGGTTGAGAGGGGCTAGGGAGAGTGGAAGACAGACTGAGAGACAGGCAGAGTGAGGACAGACAGAGTTGAGGACAGATGGAGAAAGTGGTTGGCTGGGAGAGGCAGCCTCGAGGTTCCCATCAAGGAAGAGGGGAAAGCATCAGGTCCCCTCCTCCTCTGGGGCTCCATGGCAGGGCAGGGTTCATGCAGAGGATGAGTGGGGCAGGAGCTGGCACTTACTTCGATGGTGCTGTCCAGCGATCCCACGCTGTTACGCCGCCCCCGCTTCCCTGCACCCACAAGCAAGGAGCCCAGCGTCAGAGCAGCAACCCCCCCTCCCCACCCTGCTGGGCTCCAGAGCTGGGCACCAGGCCTGGGCCCCTCCCGGGGACAGACACCCCTATTCCCTTTCCCCCGTTGAAGAGGGGAAGGTGGGGAGGAGGAGAGGTGGAGGAGGAGGAGTGAGAGGAGGAAAAGATGGCGAAGGAGGAGAGGTGGTGCTGGAGAGATAGAAGAGGAAAGAGAGGAGAGGTGGAGCAGTGAGAGAGAGAGAGGGGCTGACTGTGGCCCCACTTCACACTCCCTGGCCCAAACTCTGGGCTCCACCTGATCTGACCTGGCTCCCAGGCCCCCTGCGGCACAGTGCCCAGGGCTCTGGATAAAGGCCGGGTGTGTGCAGGTGTGGTGGGTGCAGGAGAGGCTGGCGGTCAGTGATAGGAGGCAGAGAGGACACCCGGTCCCACATCTCCCCAGCCAGGTCAGGGGCCCCAAAGACTTGCCTGCATCAGAGAGGTCTCGCAGAGAACTGCTGAGTGCGCCCCGTTTGAGCCCATCGCCTGCCCCATACGTGTCCTCCAGGCTGCTGCGGGCCAGCGTGCCATTCACTGAGTCCTTGGCCCCTCCGGGCTGTGAGGCATTAGGCCGCATCATACCTTTCTGCTTCTCTAGCTCCGCTGGGTGGTTGTGGGGGAGATGGGGAGAGAAGGTCAGGAACAGGAGTGAAAGGCCACTTGGCTAATCCCAGCCCTCCAGCAACCTTCCCCATTCTTGCCTGTTCTGTCCCCAGGCCTTCTGCTTTGCCCCCTGGACAGACGGCACATTCCCCCAAAACCTCAGTTCCATCTCTGAAGCCCCCCCACGGCGCCCACCCTGTTTCACACCATCTCCTCTGGCTGGGTTTTCCCTCTGTCCCTCTCTGCCTGCTCCTCCTGCTCCTCTCCCCTTCCTCTCACCCTTCTTGCTCCCCCCTCCCCTGCCCACTCTCAGTCTGGTCTCCCAAACCACCCCTGCCCTTTAAAACAGAGCTTCACAGTGGCTGGCTGGTCACAGCAGGGGCAGGAAGGCCCTTCTAGTCTATGGCAAAGGGCAATCCTTCCAAAGTCAGCTCAGTTCTCAGCTATCTTGCTCCAGAGCAGAGGGCTCCAGGAAGGACAGGAGCAGGAAACCCAACAGGAATGGAATCCTCTATTATATGCCAGCAGTCTGCTGGGAGCTATGTGTACTTGATCTCACTTAATCTCACAACAGTTCAGAGGGAAGGATCATCATCCACATTTTCAGAGGAAGAAACTGAGAATCCAAAAAGTCATAAAGCTGGCCTGGGGTCATACAGCTGGAAATGGGGGGGGGGGGGGCGGTGGGGAGCTGATATTCTGGAAGCAGGTCTGCCAGAGTCCAAAGCCTGTGCTCTCTAGCCTCCTTACAACGCCCCCCTTCACCTCCCTGAGGAGGTCATGGAGACTTTTGCCTGTTGCCTTCCCCTCATCTTGGTATGCTCACCCCTCTCTGAATGTCCCCTGGGTCTCAAGGATCTGGTGAACTGAAATGTGCGGACCTTGCTTTGCTGAGTGGAGCAGACCCTGGAACCGTGAAGGGCTCACTGAGCAGCTGTCAGCTGCCTCAGTTTCTCTCTCTGTGTCTGCCTATCTTTTTCTCCTCAACATCATGTTACTTAACTGTGACTGCTTAGCCTGGAGAAGAGAAAACTTGGAGGGCATTGAGTAAAATTAGACGTAATCACTCTTTTCCCATTATATATGCTTAAAACGACTTGGCGTGGCCTCTGGGGGCCAGAAGGATGGGTGATGGGGACTCAGCTCAGGAAATGGAGTGTGGGAAAAGGACAGGAAAGGGGAGGGGGGCTGGGAAGAGGGATCACCTTTTTTGGACAACTAGGATGTTCAGTGCCAGGGTCCTACTAACATGTAGGACATCTCTTCTACCTTGCCTCATTAAATCTCCACAACTCTGTAAGGATATTTCATCATCCCAATGTCATGTATGAAGAAACTGGGGGATCAGGGAGTCAGGCAACTCACCCCAGCTTACCTATATAATAAGTAGCATACCTGGGATCTGAAACTAGAGTCCTACCTCCAATACCCTGATGCTTCTCCCTGCTGCCTTTCAATAGAAGGAAGAGCTGGCTCCTAATCAGGGCTTGGAATAATTATCTGAAGTTCAGAGGTAACGAGCCTCTTGTCCCTGAAGGTATTCAAGCAGAAGCTGAAAAGTTCCTAGAATGGGGGTAGGAAGGTTGGACAAGCTAACCCTCAACTCTGAGATTCTCAGAGGACAGGATTCTTGGTGTCTGGGGGGGATCGTGTCAGGAAAAGGGACAAGAGGTACAGCTGGGTACTCACACTCCACGCGGTATTTCTCCATCTCCTGCACCTCGGCAATGGACTCGCGCAAGTCGGATGTGAAGCGCAGCCGGTCCTGGAGGCTGGGGGCATTGAAGATGATGAGGACTTTGCGCTCCCCGCCAGGTACTGCAGACAGCAACTTGATCCCAAACTGGTAGTCTGGTGGGGGAAAGGGGAGGTCGGGCACCCCTGTCAGCACTGAAGCAAGGTGGCTCATACATGAATGAGTTTTTCTACTCTTCAACTCCAATCCAGCCTCTTCTCTGCTCAGCACCCTCAGTGGCTTCCCTTTTGCCCCCCAAGGTCCCCAAAATCTTGGCAGTCATGGCCCTGTTACTCCATCTACTCCAGATAGAAAGGCAAACTGCACTCTGACTCTCTCCAACCCCTGCCTTCACACCTCTGCCTCTACTCACATTGCTTCTGTTGCCACCTGACAGAGCTCCTCTGGCTCAGTCCTTCAAAGCGCAGCGTGATCACCATCTCTTTGGCCCACCAGAAAACGTACACACCACGGTTCTCTGCCAGACCCCCAGGGAACAGACCCAAATCATACTCCACCCTAGCCTACCCTGCATCCCGGGACCAAGTAGGTGCTTTGGAGACCTTAGTCCAGTTGTAAAGGACTCCAAAAACTGGAGGTTGGTATGGATGAAGGATGAACACGGGGGCCATGGCATAGACTTTGGGGATGCTGGGATCCAAGTAGGGACTCACATGAATTCTGGAAGAGCTGCATGTGCATTTCCACCAGAGGAAAGGACTGACGGAAGCTGTACGTCACCAAGATCTTCTTCTTCTGGAAAATTTTGGTGACCTTTGGCAGGGGGTGGGAAAAAGACAAGAGGCAGGGTTTGGGGTAGGGAATTTCCACATGACACCTATTTCTCATAGCCACCCTCCCCTCCCACCGCCACTGAAAGACATATACACACAAACACACATACCCACAAGTTGGGGAGAACTGAAGCTTGAGGAGCAGAACAGGAGAGATGGGAGAAAACGCAAGTTCCTGATGTAATGACAATGCGCAACGGACATTTGCGATTTTTATAGGAAGTAACCGAATGCTCCCCAGAAAGCCTGTTCTATCTAATACCTCACACAGACTCCCCCACCCTGCCCCCTTTTCTGAGCTTCCAGAGTGCTGCTTCAGTGCCTTTCACCACCAGGCTTTAGGTGAGCGCTATGCGGGTGTGATCGCCCCCTGCTGGACCAGAAGCGCCACGAAGAGTCTGATTGTCGTGTTTCTTGCCCACCTCGGTAGAACCCCGCAACCTGTGGCAAATGCCAATGAACCAACGTCTAGAGTTAATGAGTCTCCCTCTCAATAGCCCAAGGTCTTTATCAAGTACTTGGGCACTCTGGATTCGACAACCGGAGGTTGTGAACACGTCAGACAGTCTACAAAGTGGTGTTTAAAAGCAAATTACTTGATTTCAGGATGGGTTATAGTGCATGGTTATGCAGAGCATTTTCTTAGTCCTTTGGACTGTGAGCTCCCGAGAATGAGGACTGACTTTCACTCATCTCTGTGAACCCAGTGCCCAGCATGGGGCTGGACACGCACAGGTGTCAGTGCATGACAGGTGCTGAAACATTTACACAGCACCCGTGTGGGCCTGGCACTCCTCTGGGTTAGGCTATTCCACTTCTGACTTCTTAACTCCATCCTCATGACAACCTTATGAGATAGGGATTAGCCCCACTTCACAGAGGAGGAAATTAAGGCTTAGTGAAGGCATTGGAGAGGCTTCATCTAAAGCAGCAATACTCGGGGCGCCTGGGTGGCTCAGTCGGTTAAACGTCCAACTTCAGCTCAGGTCATGATCTCATAGCTCATGAGTTCGAGCCCCACGTCGGGCTCTGTGCTGACAGCTCAGAGCCTGGAGCCTGCTTCAGATTCTGTGTCTCCCTCTCTCTCTGCCCCTTCCCCCCCTCAAAAAAATGAATAAACATTAGAAAAAAATAAAGCAGCAATTCTCAACTAGGTGTGACTTGGAACCCCAGGGGACATCTAGCAATGACTGGAAACAGTTTTGGTTGAAGGAGCGCTACTGGCATCTAGCAGGTAGACACCAGGGATGATGCTAAATACACTCCAATGCACAGGCTAGCCCCCACAACAAAGAGTTATCCCTCTCCAAATGTCAATAGTGGTGAGATCGAGAGACCCTGTTCTAAAGAACTGAAGATCACGGGGATAAGGGGGGAAGATAGCTCACTGTCCTCAAATCACTGAAGAGCTGTCTCAGAGCAGGAGAACACTCATTCTCTGTGATCCCAAGGGCCCAGGGAAGATGATTGGAGGAACCCCACTGGGAAACAGATTCTGTCAATCAGAGCTGTCTAACCAGGAAACTGGCTGCCTTAGAGGAAGCACCCTTCTGTCTCCACAGTCATGCAAGCAGGGGGCCATGCAGGAAGTTGGTTTCAGGTAAGAGATTGGACAAGAGACCCTGAAATTCTCTTGTACCAGCAGAGTCCTTAAGAGTCCCAGCTCTAAAAGATGCACGTCTACAAGGGTGATGAGCTTGGTTTTAAGCTTGAATCACTTCAAGCATCCTGACCACTTGAAGGTTTCAGAGGGACCCCAGGGTCACAGGTTTCCCCTCCTTTCAGCCCACACTCTGGGCTATTGAGATGAACAGGGACATTTCCTACCACTTCCCAGACTGTAAGCCTGTCAACTCCTCTGGTCCTCACATTTTCTCCCCCTGTGCGGCTGTCACTCCCTCCAAATGGATCCAAAAGGTAAAAGAGGGGCAGAGATGGCCTATGCCCTATCCAAGACTGCACACATCACATGGTAAAGCACGTCATCCACCACACCTCCACCCACCAGCGGTTAACATGGTTCACATAGACCCAGGGTGCAAGTTCACCCTCCCCTCCCCCCGCCGCTCCATTTCCTCCCCTACAGTGCTCCTACCACGAGGAGATCGTTGAAGAGGAAGACTTCCCGCTGATGCAACCCTAGCCTCTGGGGGCGGTTTGGATCTGGCACCTCGTAGAGTTGACAGCAGCAAACCAGTCGACGGTGAGGAAGAGACAAGACCTAGATAGGCATGAAGAAATAGATGTCATCAAGGCTAGCCACACCAACTTCAGGCCTCTGGCACCTTATCGTCCAACCTCAAGAGGAAGTTTACTCTGACACAAGGAGTCTAAGCAACAAAGGCCTAGGCTTGCCTTTGTCCTTGGAGCTCTCTTTGTTTAGAATGCCTTTCTTGCCCAGCTTTATATTCCATTCTTCTTCCAAATCCCAGTTCTAGTCTTTTCCAAGAAGGTGTTTCTGATTTCCCCGGACCAGAAGTGACCTCTCCATCCTTTATGCTCCCTCAGACTAACTATAAGGCAGATGCACTGACACCCCCACTCCCAGCCTGTGAATACCTCTAAGGACAGAAACTATGTCTGATTCATATCTGTGTCCCTACTCCTCAGTCAAATGCCCAGCTCTATGGAAAGGCATCTGTAAATGCTTGTTGACTAAAAGACTACAGTGTGTTCTTGGTTTTGGTTATCAGTTTACTATTAGCTTGGCTCCTCACCTGGGATGGAGAGGCAAAACCGGGGGTGAGAAGGATGCCAATATTTCTACAGCACCCACCACGTTCCTTGCAATGTGTTAGATGCATCCCCATAAGAGCATCTCACTCTGTACCACGCCCCGCTGAGTAATGCATTATCGCCTACTCCATTCAGCTGGAGAGGGGAGTCTGGGGCTCAGAGTCAGGGGTACTGACTTACCTGCCATTCAGTGGCAGAAGCAGACCCAAACCCCGTCCCTCTGCAGCCTCTCCAGGCACTTACCGGTTTCTTGCCAACAATCATGCGCTCCACAGCCTGCACCTGGGACACATGGTCATCATTGGTCCGCAGTTCACGCCCCTGGATTCGCTGGTAGATGCCCACCAAGAGGTCTCGGGGGATGTCTTCACCGTTGTCAACCCCTGGGCAAGGGAGTAACACAGGGGCATATTGCACAAATGTGAGGAGTGGGTGGCAGGGGTTCCTCCAAATGCCCCACACCCAGGCATGAGTGCAAACAATGGCCGAGACTGGAGGGAGTGGGCACCCTCGGTCCCTTGGTCAGGACTGGACTGGAAAAGGTGTCCTTCACCAAGCAACTGGATAGCCAGTTGCTTTCTTTCCCATGGCGGGGATTTTTTCTAAGCCACTCAGAGCACACTGTGATTAAAATAATCAGATACTTTTCCCCTTTCTAACTAGCAAAACTAACATTAAATGTTAGTAAGAGTGCAGGAAAGTGGGCATGTATATTAACAAAACTGTTTTTGGAAGGTAGTTTGGCAAAAGCCTAAATAGTCCATGATTCTTCTTCTAGGAATCTGCCCTAAGGCATTACTCAGAAGTATGCGCACAGTTGTGCGTACAAGTGCTACTTACAGGAAAAACCTTGAAACAACCTAAGTTCTCACAATAGAGGGACAGTTAAGTAAAGCTGAGTGTATCCATTTAATAAAATAATTTACAGCTATTAAAAACTTGGTGTTTACAAAAAGCATGTGAAAGTTCCTGTAGCGAGGTTATGTGGAAAGAGCAGGATAATAAAGAGCAGGAGAGAGAAGGAGGGAGGGTGGGAGGGAGGATTGATGAAATGAATGAATGAACGAATGACTAACAGCAGGATTCCAGAAGACAGATCCAGATGGCCTCTGATCTAACTCCCTCCTCCCAAGTCTACCATCCTTCTTCATTCCTGTCTGCTGAGTGAAACCCACTCACTCTTCCCTCCAAACCTTCTGCTAGAGAAAATGTTTTCTCCTTTGGAAATGCCACGCCTCCTCCCTGGACAGGTGCTAAAGGAACATGCTTCATCACACCGCCTTTTTACCTCAGCTGCCAGAGAGCTTAAGCCCATCTACTGTGCAAACCCTGCCGGTCAGCCAATTTGTCTCATCTGTTTGTTTTTCCTCATGTCTATTTCCCTCTTTCGTTTCTGTTTAAATAATCCTAGCATATGTGCCATTTTTAGGAGGCTGCTCTTTGGTGAGAGCCAGGGTTTGACATCAATACAATAAACCAAGAAAAAAGGTCAAGGTGACACCTTCTACCTGGCATTCAAGGTCCTTGCATATTGATTCCAACTGACCTTCCCAACTGGATCATCCACCCCATCTTGATTGTTCTTCAAACAACTTTTCCTGCCTTTGTTATTCTTTTGTAAATGTTTTTGGTTTTTTTTTTTTTTTGGGGGGGGGGGGTTCAGAGAGAGAGGGAGACAGAGGATTGGAAGCAGGCTCTGCCCTGAGAGGGGAGAGCCCGATGTGGGGCTCAAACCCATGAGCTGGGAGATCATGACCTGAACTAAGGTCAGATGCTTAACCGACTGAGCCACTCAGGTGCCCCTGTGCCTTCGTTATTCTTACTACTAGGTAAGCCTCCTCTATTGCTATTCTGTCATATTAGCCATGCCTTCAAAGTCCACCTTAAAATGAAAATACTGCTTCCTCCAGGAAGTGTGTTGGAGGTGGGCTCTCCCTCCTCTGAGGTCTGACTGCGCTTTTGGCCTGACATCATGGTTTGCTTTTTCTCTCGTGTTGGGTATCTGGTACTATATGTCAGCCTGTCCCACAAACCAGGAGCTCTCTCGGGGCAAGGGACTATGGTTTCCTTAGCACCCATCACAGGGCCTGGCACACGTGAGGCACTCAGTGTCAACTGGCTGGCTGGCTGGCTGGGTGTTCAAGTGGATAAAGGAATGTATGGATGGAGGAAAGGGTACGTAGAATACTTAAATGAGTCTTTATGGGCATAAATAAAAAGGAGAGGGAAAGAGGGAGGAGTGATAAGTGAACGGATGCATAAAATGACTGAGTGGATTAGTGTAAGCTCTGTAAGAGCCAGGGCTTTTATCTCTCATGTTCACTGCTGTAACCCCAGAACCTTCTCAGTGAGTACCTGGTGCAGGAATGAGTAGATGGACAAACAACTATTTGAGTGAATTAATAAGGGAATGCCCTGGCAATACCCAGCTTTGGCAGAAAGTGAGAGAGCATCACAGGTAATTTTCCACAGAGGAGGTGTGATCTCCCCGCTCCTTCCCCAGCCCACCTCCACCCTGCCCACTCTCCCTTCCGAGGTGAAGGACAGGACAAGCTGCTAGCGATGTCTGGGGTCACCTCTCAGGTTCTTGATGAAGTCATCTAGTTTCATCTTGCGTTCAGCCTTGACGCTGGGACTGTACATGTCGGTATTGAGGAGGATGATAGCAAAAGCAAGGATGAAGATGGTGTCTGGGTTCCGGAACTGGCGCACAAGGGCTGGGTTACAGACACAATACCGCTGGCTGCAGGGCAGGATCAGGGCCAGGGTCAGGCACTAGTAATCTTCACCTACCCACCGTCCCCCCACCCCCAGTCTGGTGCCACCAACCCTCTCCCCCAAGAAATATTCCCAAGGCTTTTGGGTATGTCCTCTTTCTTCAGCTTCCCCAAGACTAGCATATAAAATCACAACCACTACCTTTTACAGAGCTCTGCCTACAGACCTCCATACATTGTCTCATGTAATCCTATCACGATCCTGTAAAGTAGCTATTAGCAGCCCCATTTTACAGAGGAAGTAATGAGGCCCAAAGTGGAGAGGTAACGTGCCCAAGGTAAAAGGTTGGTAAATGGTGAAGACAAGATGAAAATCCAGATCTTTCTGACTATAGGACAAATCCTTCTCCCATTATGGGAAACAAGTTGTCAGCAACTCTTCTGTTTCCCTGCTTGATACCCCTAAGTGGTGGAGCCGGGTTATGTCCAGGTCTGCCTGATTCCCAAAGCATTAGCAGTAGAGGATAAGAGTCAAAGGCATTAGGTCATGGAGGCAAACACATTTGAGTTCAAATCCTGGTTTGAACCTCTTACTGTATGACACTGAGCAAATTACTTAACCTTTCTAAATTTCTGATTTCTTATCTGCAAAATGGGAATAATAATGGAAGCACCCACCTCGTAGGGTTGTTGTGAGTATTTGGTGAAATAATCACATAAAGTGCCCAGCTCAGCACCTGATACCTTGTAAACCAGTGCTTGACAAACATTAGCTGTTGCTAATGCTGTCGTCACCTATTGGATGCCCATGTCCCAGATGCTGAGCTAGACACTTTAGGCACACTACCTCTGATCCTCACAACTGCCTTGCATGATAGGATTTATGATTTCCAGTTTCTGGTGAGGAAAGTATGAGGCTCAGAGAGGTTACTTGTAGACACATACTACACTGCCCCCCAAAGGGGGGAAGGGCAGCTTCAGGAATGGGAAAAAGGCACACCTGAAGGCTTCGATAAGTCGCTCCACTTTCTGGGCCTCGCCTTGGACCCGGATATGGGATTGGAACTTCCGGAGTGCATCATCCAAATCCATGGAGGAGAAGTCCATCTCATCCACCACACAGCTGAGGAGGAAAGAAGCAGGTATGCCACTCTCAAATCCTCTGCAGAAAACCTCTGACCTACCCTGACCTGCTCAAACGGACAAACACCCCCACTGACAGACTTCCAAAATCTGGACCCATAGCCCTACCAAGTACTTACGAGGATGGAATGTTTGAAATTGAATCCATCCCAGAAAATCAAGGCCAGACACATGGTTCTAAGGGTCCTTTCCACTGACCCACTGATTTCAGAGATAGGCAAACTGGGGCCCAAAGCAGGCCATAGGACAAGCAGGACCACCCAGAGGACTTTTGGAAACAGGGCCAAGAGAGATCAGACGTTTTTGAAGTAGAGGGGTATGGGAGCAGGAAGGTCTCTTCATCCTGTTTTGTAAAGTTTATCTGAACAAAAAGGACAGGCTGCCCACTTCCTCCCTCCTGCCCTCCTTTTCCAGGAATCCCTGGCCCGATCTGCCCCATCCTGGGGTCCTCACTCCAACACATCTCTGTTGAACTGCTTCTGCCGGTTCCCTAGGAATTCCCCTATCATCTGCCGGCTCAGGCCTTTCCGTTCCAGGATAAAGTGAGCCACTCCCACCGGTGTGTCTGACAGGAAGCCCCGCTCGATCAGATACTGGATACCCTTCTCTGGCTTCCTGCAGAAAGAGGGGAGGTAGATGAGATGACTGTGCTCCTAGAACTCGGCCCTCGGTCCCACTTCATGAACTAATTTTGGGCCCAACCATAGCTTCAGAGAACCAAGGAAGGTGAATATATAACTTATGTCCAATCCCTTCATGGTACAGATAAGAAAACTGAGGCCCAAGGGGAGGAAGTCACTCTCACAGAGTTTCTAAATTCCAAGGCATCCTAAACCCTTTCACTGGAGCCAGTCAGTTAACTGGAGCCACACTACAATGGAAACTAAGATCTAATGAGACGCTGCTCTATGCCAGGAGCTTTAATATTCCCAGTAGCCACTGAGGAGTCCTGGGAGAAGGCCTGAGCCCCCAGGCTAAGCCCTTCTCTCTGAGTCACAGACCCTCAGAACAGGAAAGTGAAGAGGTTTCTCTGTCTGCCTCTCAAATCCCACCCAGACAAGGTAGTACCCAGCCTCTATGAATGTGCCAATAGACAAGATACTCTCTACTTTCCACTAGGCCAATTCTGGGTCTGAGCTATCCCGTATTCAAAACCCCAGAGCCTTAGGACCCCATGAGGCTGGAATTTGGAAGAGACTTTGGTGCCACAGGAGTCTCACATCTGTCACTTACCAGTTGTGTGACTCAAGGCAACTCCTTTTATGTCTCTAAGCCTCAGCTCCTTCTCTATAAAACAGGGACACTACTTCCCACATTCCTGAGCTATTGTGAGAAGTAAATATAGGTGGCAGTGTCTACTAGGCTATGAAGACACAAGGCATTTGGTTTCTAATTCTCTTCTGAGCAAATGTCAGGCTTCCACCCCACTCCTAAGCACCTGGCATAAGATCAGGCACCTAGAAAGGGCTCAGTCATGGTCACTGACTACTCCAGTACTCCACCCTGCCCCCCACCAGGCCTGAGTATGCACACCCTGCTAATGAAAACTTTTTAAAAGTTTGTTTTATTTATTTTGAGAGAGAGAGAGAGAGAGAGAGAGAGAGAGAGAGAGAGAGAGGGAGAGGAGGAAGGGGAGGGAGGGAAAAAACGAGCAGGGAAGGGGCAGAGAGAGAGGGAGAGAAAGAATCCCAAGCAGGCTCTGTGCTGTCAGCTCAGAGCCCGATGCAGGGCTCGAACTCACAAACCACGAGATCATGACATGAACCGAGATCAAGAGTTGGATGCTTAATAAACTGAGCCACCCAGGTGCCCCACACACCCTGCTAATCAATAGATGGAAGCACTGAAGCCCAAGGAAGGAACACACCTTGCCCAGGGCTACACAGAGAGGCTGGCCGGAGTCAGGTTAGGGGTCGAGGGCTCCTGTTACTTAGAGCAGGGCTCTTTATACATCATATCACCTCCCCACCAAAAAGGGGACATGGGGGACCCAAGGTTCAGAATCCATCCTATAGGCAGCAAACCGGGCCCAGAGGAGGAAACATCTTGCCCAAGATCACACGGCCAGTCAGAGGCAGTATTAGGGTTAGAATTGCCTCTGACAGGTGTGTCTGTGTGTGGTGGGGAGGGCTTTCCATTCTGCCACCCTGTTGCCAATCCTCTTCCCTGAAAGGCTGGGGAGAAACACCACCCACAAAACGAGAGGATGGCTGAAGCAGGATCTCTGCTTGGAGTTCAGCCCCAGCGGTCCAAGTGCCTCTAGCAGGGTAGGAAGGGGCGAGGAGGCAGGATCAGGGAGCACGTACTTGTTGAAGAGGTTGAGGCCGATTCGGTAGTGCCGCCTCTGCACCACGTCGTTGTTAAAGGCTGGTGAGTCCCAGCTGTGCCTCGTCTCCCGCTGGTAAGTCTGCTTGCACAGGCCTGTGGCTGGAGGCTCTCTCAGGCTGTCCCTCGAAGAGGAGCCAGAGCTGCAGTTGATGGTCTCATTGGAATTGCTGGAGCTCTCCAGGCTCTCATTATCTCCACCATCAGAGTTCTCGCCTGCTGCCTCGCACTTCCCCAACCTCCGACCCCCAGCCACACCACTGGGCCCAGTGCCACTGTTGGGGGCTGGTGGCAGGGGCCCTGGCGGGGCTGGGGCTGGGCCCTCTGGGGCTGGGTAGTGGCGGTGTGGGATTGGGGCCCTGCCTGGTGGCCCCTTGTGCTTCAGGGTCCCATGGGGGCTGCAGCCATCAGCCTCATACACCAGCTGGCGGTGGACAGACCCGCGATCTGAGCGGTCACTCAGGTCCACGGAGCTGTCACTAGGAGGCTCAATGGTAAGCAGGGGAAGGTGGGCGGCCCGCAGCCGGAAATCCCGGCACTCCAAGCACCCAGGACCCCTGCGAGTGCCTTCCTCACGGGCACCGTCTTCCCGGGTCCCAGGTGGCACTGGTGGAGGAACTGGTGGGAGAGGGGCTGGCGCCCAGAACTCAGGCCGGCCCTGGGGTGGGGGCTCTGTGCTGGGCAGTCGCTCAGGGGATGGTGGGGGGACTGGGTCATCCAAGTAGAGGGGAAGGTCACTGAAGGACGTGGCTGAGCTGTCCTCTTGCTGTTCCTTTGACTCTCGCTTCTCCAGTTGGGCTGACCCTGGCTCCTCAGACATGGGCCCTGATGGGTGGCAGTTCAGGGCCTCATCAATGGACTCAGCCAGAGACTTTACCTGTGTGGGAGTAAAGGGGAAGAGGGAAGGGAAGGAGGGTAGGATGGTGGAAGGGAGGGAGTAGGGGAGGGAGGGAGGGGAGGCAAAAGGGGGAATCTTCCTAGTGGGTCAGCCAGGAAGAGGGAATCCCCTCCCCCACCCCCACAGGTTCTCTGCAGTGTATAAAATAACTCCCAGGGAACCATTGTGAGCTCACAGGGGCTGGCTATTGGCCACAAGTCCCCTTCTCAATATCTCAATCCCTCCTTCATGTCCCTATGTACCCATGCCAAATGCCACCTACTCTCTGATTCAATCCACATTCCTGCCTCTGCCATCCCCCAGGGTAAACCAATATCCCAGCTTCCTCTGGGCTCCCAGAGCCCTCCATCTGGTTCTGTCTGGTTCAACCCATAATATTTATTATTTGATGATCTAAACCATGGCTGGTAACTCTGCTTCCCTGTGGTATCCAGCCTCCAAACTGGCCTCTAATGATCCCTGCCTCTTGGTATACATGATCCCAGGCTTGGTCTGTGGAGCCAACAGTATATGGCAGAAGTGATGGGATGTCACTTCCTACATCAGGTTATACAGGACTGCAGCTTCCTTCTTGAGCACTCTTGTTCACTGTTCTCTCTCTCAATCTCTCTCAGACCCCTTGCTCTGGGGGAAGCCACACCATGAGCAGTCCTAGGGAGATGCCCACATGATGAGGAGCTGAATCTTCCTGCAACAGTCAAGTGAGTGAGCTTGGAAGCAGACCCATCAGCCCCCAGAAAGTCTTCACAGACTGGTCTCACCCTATGGCTTGATTGAAGCCTCATGAAAGACCCTGAGCCAGAACCACCAGCCACCAGTGGCTTACTCCCAGATTCCTGGCCCTCAGAAACCGTGTGAGATAATTAATATTTCTTGTTTAAGCACAGTCTTTATGTTCAGTTTGAAGCTACTAAATTTGGGGGTCATGTGTTATGCAGCAATGTAACTGATACATGTAACTACCACACTTCTCCATCATATTTAGATAGCATTAACAGCTGAGCCCAGGCCTGGTTCCTCAGTCTCTGCACCAGACTGTGATCCCTTATCCCCCATTCTCCCCTTGAGGGATGGGTCCAGGTTTCTGTCTTTTCAGCCAGCTCAGTCAGCTTCAGTCGACTCAGCTCAACACATTTGACACAGAAGAGGTATTCAATTAAATGTTTGTTGTATGGATGGATGAGTGACTTAGATCTTCCATTTAAAATTTCTTTCCTCCCCCCTACCTACACCCCTTCACTAGCTCCAGGGAAGCATGTCCTGGCTGGTGGCAGGGTGAGATCAGAGAGCTTAGAGAAGAATGGTTTCTTCTCTTATAAAGCTTCATTCATTCATTCATTCAACCCTTTCTGCTAAATACCTCCTTGGTTTTAGGAAGGAAACTAACATGTACTGAGCAGCTGCTTTCATGTATATTACCTAGCTGAAGTGACTCTTCAAAACAGCTTTAAAAGGAAGGTTCTATCTCCATTTTATTGATCATGTTTCAGTGAGGTTAAACAACTTTCCGGAGGTCACACAGCTGAGAGATGGCAGAACTGGGATTTGCACTTGAACAGCTAATGCTGACAGACCTCAAGCCGAGAATGATCTGCTACCACCATCACTGCCTATTATATTCCCACCATCTCATGCTTTTGCCAGTGTAATGCCTGTGCAAGCAACACCCTACTCTCCCAACAATCTCTAACTTGCTAAGTCTTATTTGTCTGGTAAGGCCCAGCTCCAGTGCTATTTTCTCAAAGAGGCTTTCTCTTGTCCTCCCAGAAGAAAGTCTCTTTTCCCTCCTCTGCATTCCCATGGTACTATATGTGATCCTTTCTCATGGCTCTGAGCACACTCTATTGCAGGAGACAGTCATGTGCATGTCTGTCATTTCCTACTGGCCTTGGAGATCCTCGAGAACAAGGACCCTGGCTGGCTCATCTGTCTCTGTCGCAGTACCCACCACAGAGCCTGGTCGATAGTGGTAGTAGTGCAGAATAAGGGAAAGGGCATGGACTTTAGAACCAGACAGAGCTGAGTTCCAATCCAGTTTGGAAAAGTCACTTCGCCTCTCAGGGACTTGGAGCCCCAGTCTCCTCCTCTGTTATCACAATTGGGATAACAACCCCCATTGTGCAGGTCGTTATGATGCACACACAGCACCTGGCACGGAGTAGGAGCTCATCACCTGTTAGGCCTTAATTTGCTTGTGCATCAAGTTCCAAAGAGTGAGAACTTAAATTTTCTTATGTGTTCCAAAAGCCTAGATGTTTAACTTGTTCTAACTAGATGGATGCCTTTCTCATCCATCTCACAGTCCGTACTCACATGCTTGCCAGGCAACTTCTTTCAGTTTGGAATATAGGCAATATAGGGAGGAGAGGCCCTTTTCAGGGATGCTGACCTGTTTGGAGAAGGAGTCCTCGAGCTCTGTGATGTCATTGGAAAACTCTCCAGATGTGGTGACAGAGCTTCCCCCACCATCGATGCCCCCTCCACAGGAGCCCCCATATGGGAGCCCTCGGTCAAGCCGGTGGCTCCGGGCACCAGCCATGGCACCCTCGTCCAGCGAGGCAGGCTTGCCCTCGAAGTACGCGGGGTTCTGTGCCTTCTCATACTCCTCAAAGGAGAACTGCATCCGCATATTGGAAAGGATGATGCGGCGGGACATGCGGCTTTCTGAAGCCGAGCTGCGGAGCCGCTCAAAGTTCTTGTTCATGCGGTACTGGCGAAAGGCTGTCTGGATGGTCCTGGCGGCCCTGCGGCTCAGGAAGGAGCCCCCATACTTCCTCTCCAGCATTTCCACCTAGCAGGGGAGGGTTGAGGGGGATGAGGTCAGAAATTCACTGCAGCCTCATTCACCTCCCTGGGCCTCAACCCACACCACAGCCAACTGCGCATAGCTGCCTAGACAGGCCAGGCTGTGCTCTCAGTGTTGTGTCCTCACTTTAATCTCAGATAACACTTGTCACATGGGACTGGACTGTGGTTTTCTTTTTTATTTACAAGAAATAGATGTTCATTATGCCAGAAAAGTTAAAAAAAAAACAGAGATGCCAAAAATGGAAAGAAAAGTAAGAAATAAATTGAGAGCAAGGGGAAGGAAAGGAAAGAGGAAGAGAGAGAAAGAAGAGAGGGAGAGAGGAAGGGAAGGGGAGTGTGGAGAGAGGGAAGGAAAGAAGGAAGGAAGGAAGGAAGGAAGGAAGGAAGGAAGGA